TATTTACGGGGCTTATAAACGGCTATGAAACCCGTGTAAAACCCTTTTTAAAGCCCAAACGAAACCGCCTGGAAACCCATGGCAGTCATAGCGCCGGCGAGCCTGAATCCTGAACTCTAGCCGCTGAAGGTTCTAAACGATGATTGCGAAAAAGGTGTACGGAAAAGCTCATCGGATCATCGGATTCCAGGTAAACCCTAAACGCTCTACGCTACAAGGATTTTTGAAACCCTAAAGAACCCTTCCTTGTGTGCTGTCCGACAAAACCGTCCTGAAAACGAGGCGCTCCAATGCAAGCGTCACTTCTGGAGGAGAAGGCCTCAGGCATCACTTTCCTGCATGTTAAGGGTGTGGAGCTTGGGTTTCGCAGGGTTTAATTGGGTTTAAGGTCTTAAGGGCTTAATTAGGTCTTTAGGCTTATTCCGCTTGGTACAAGGGCCTGAGTAGAAATGCCTGCACAGCTGGAGTAGGCTTTCGGGGAGATAGTTGCACACCTCAAATGCGTATACAAAACAAGCCTACGGAAAACTGCTCCAATCATTCAAGCCGGCTCATTTCTTGCAGGGTTTTGTTGCTGAGGAAATAAACAACACCCATGGGCTACCGCCACAAACCCTGAACCGTTTCCGCACCTGAACCGTTTCCGTATAGTAACATATTAAAATAACCCATGAAACAATCCTTATAAAGGAACAACCCCCAAAGTTTGCCCTTGTGGCAGATACAGGAAATCCCAAACTTGGCGCATGGGATTCCAAAGCTTTTGCTGGGGCTTGAAACAATCATGGGTGAAGAGCCAGGGTGGGGAGTTTGGGGTGAGACTTGACAAGATCGGTTTCGCCAAACTTTTGGGAAAAATGCTAAGTCGAAAGTTCCCAAAACCCTGGCACCAGGTCAGGGTCCCGGGCTCTGACTGGTCTTGGAGGCTGAAGGTAAACACTGGCCTGGGAGTTCAGGGCACCTACCATTAATGATTTTAAAAGGGCTGCTGTCACGGTTATTACGCAAGGCGGTTTACGATAAGGAAGATTGCAGGTTCTGTGCAGTTTTGGGTGTTTGGTATGGTTTTATACCAGAAACTGGAATTCATTGAATTTTGGGCATGTGGATTGCGGATTACGGGGTTCTCCTCCAGGATCTAAGACAAGATAGGCTTAAGGATGCTTAAGGCTGTTTCAGATTTTTCAAGGAGTGACCGAGCGCAGCCTCAACTGCTGCCGGCATAGCCGTGTCTATTGTGTTCTGGGCGACGCGCTGCTGCACTCCTATTTTGTTCGGAATTCGGAATCCCGACGATTCTGCACTTGGCATGTGAGCTGCATGCGAGACCTTTCCCACACGGATCGCAGCAGAGCAATCTCCTTGCGCAGCTCAAAGTTGCCAACTGGACCCAGGCCGAAATCGGACTTGAACACCTTTCGCATGGCCTCACCTGTCTCCTGCAAGCCCCCTAACATGCGCAGTGAATGCACGCCAGCGTCGTTGAAAACGCACTCACACTCAGCATTGGAAAGAGCCAAAGGCATGGCAAATCATACTGCGAGAACCGGCGATAACACGATGCTTGCTTCGAGTCGAAGATAAGTACAACACCGCGCCAACATGTTTCGGCCACAGGGACGCGCTGAGTCCCAAACAAAAGGTACGCGGGTTTCTCCATGGTGGATGCATGCACTCTTCCACGTGACGCAGCTACCTCCGTCTCTGGGTATGCGGCCAGCTGGCCTTGGCGAACCACTTGTCCTCGCCACCGCTGCAGTTCGTCTTTTTCGATTGTTGCACGAGGCAAACCCAACTTGGAGTCCGCGCACTTGCGGGCTGCTGCCGTTGGTCCAGGGCATTATGCTGTTTACGAGGTCCCGAATGGTTTAACAAGCCAGGACAGTGTGTCTTGTAGACCGGCAGCCTCACAGGGATTCGAGGACACTTGCAGCAGGGTCCATTAGCCTAAAAATCAAAATCTTCAAAACATGCGGAGAACCTCCTTGGAAGATTACGCATGCAAAGCCGCTGCCCCGCGTCCGCGTCCTCCAGAGCCAGAATGTCTTGCAGGGCATCACGAGGAGCAAGGATAAGAATCGGAGCAAAGTCACAGGCATGGCGCTCGTCCGCATTGTCATCCTCGTAATTATCTGTCGTATCTGTCGACATTTTTTTGGAATTCTGGCGCAATCTTCCCCACCTTGTGGCCGTCAATCGCGCAAACCCCGCCCTCCCCACACAGATGCAAGTGATGGCCATGATGCTGAGGACAATGACGCTGATGTGTTGACCACGGCGCTTGTTCTGTCGTTGCACGCGGGGCGGGGCACAGCTAGCTGCCGGATAGGGGGACGATGAAGCCCAAACCCCTGCCAAACCCCAAACCCCAAGCCACAAGAAAGAGCAGATCAACGTCTTGAGTGGCAGCTGAATCTGAAGTCAAAGAGTTTCGGGTTTAGGGTCTATGGTTAGGGTGGAGGGTAGATGCTTTAGGGTTTACAGTAGGGTACTTGTGGTCTCCTACGCCTCGAAAGCCAACCGCTGCATAGAGCTTGAGTGTGGAATTGAGGAAAAGTTGTAGGAAGACTTGCTTTGGAGACTTCAGAGCTTTCTTTGGGTCTAGGTTCCTAGGAGCTTCCGGGGGAATTCAAGCACTGTTCATCCAAAGCGCTTTGGAGTATATGGGAGGGTGCAGGCAAGATCATGCAGCGCAGTATAGGGGCCTTAATGATTAGAATAGGGTTCTGGGGCCCGCTATACTATATGTTATAATAAGGAACCCCAAAATAGTATAGGTAATTATTAAGGCCCCGATATTGGTCAGTCCAAGACTAAACCCTGACAACTCCTTGAAACAGACTGGCAAACTCAGGCGGCATCGATGCAAAATGGTTCACGTCTGCCCACCAATGCCCCAAGCCACAACGGAGTTTCCGAAAATTAGGGGCTTACTTTGGGGCCCTTATAATAAGGATCCTACTATTTGGGGCACTATACTAGGGTGCCCTATTTTCGGAAAGTCCCGCGAAGCACTGAAGCCTTCGGAAACGCAGGAGCCCTGAAAGACCAAGCATCGCACAGCTTCACTCGCTCGCCATTCACCTGCACTTTGGATTGCTTCGCAACGCAGGGACCGACACCATGCGGCTTCAACGTTAGGGATGGGAGTTCCGGCTTTGCAGTTTAGGGTTTGGGGTTGAATTTTAAGGCATAGGGCCACGTGCTTGCAGCTGAAGAGAATTTGCTGCTTTGACCGTGCTCAGGGCGTTTCGGTCAGAGTCTAGGCAGCCCTCAACACTCCAGCACCGAGAGGCTTTCTGTCAGTGTTTCTATCCTTCTGCTGCTGGTGAAGACTGTACCCTCAATCCTGAACCTCAAACCTCCCTATCCCTTCGGGGATGTACTGATTTAGGGCTCCCCTCCTGCCGGAAGTTCGTTTTTGCAGATCTTAGGATGCACCCGAGGTCCAGACATCAGGGTTCTTGGGCAGTTTAGCTCTAGGGTTCAGGGATCAGGCGTAAGAGTGCTGAAAGTTGGAGGCTGGCTTGGTTGCCCACTCAGCTCATGAGACACAGATAAACTTGCTGAAGATTTCAACTATGCTGCGCTGCAGTGCAACGGAATGGATCCGATGAGTGAGTAATATGGAGGCCTCAAAAATTAGAATAGGGTTTCGGGGCCCATCATAATCATATAACATAGTATTGGTAGTTGTTTTTTGCCCCCTATTTTAGCATCAGCAAACCTTTCACAGCTTCTGATCCCGACTCTACACCCGGCTCGGAACTATCCCATCCAAAACCTTGCAGGAGTGAACTTCTGGAGAGGGCTCACACACGCACTGTAGTGGGAGAATTCAAACCCCCTGCAACAAGGCATCGAAAAGCGGGCTGAAGACTTGAACGCCCATGGAAAGCCACCCTACCAAACCCAGCCTAGACGCTCCTCAACATACTAATGAATACATAAGACACATGACCTCTTCAGAAAACTAACACCGAAAACCAAAACCCTAAACCCTAAAACCTAAACCCTAAAAACCAAAAACCTGAAACCTAAACCCTAAACCCTACACCCTAAAACCTAAACCCTAAACCCTAAACTCAAAATCTCCCGGAGCCTTCCTGGGGCTGCAAAGGCGTCCAAAAGACTTCTCATGCAGGCCGAAGGGACAGTCCACGGGGATGTGCGTCCTTGCTTTGAGTTTAGGATTGAGGGTTTAGCGTTTAGAATAGGGTTTTGAGGGTTCCCTATTATGATAGTCCACCGGGATGTGAGTCCTTGCTTCTGGGAGTTTAGGATTTAGGGTGTAGGGCTGTAGGGGTTAGGGTTTTAGGGCTTAGGGTTTAGAACAGGGTTTTGAGGGTTCCCTATTATGATTAGATGATAACATATACCCGCAAACCCTATTCTAGTCATTAAGCTTGCTTGTGGGAGTTTAGGATTTCGGGCTTGGAGTTTTTGAGTTTCCGGCTGACAGTGCTAAGGTTCTGGTTATGGAGTGTAGGTTTTCTGGCTTGTGGGCTATTTTCCGTTTCGGCTCAGGCGGCTTCGGTTCAAGGTTTGCGATTACGAGGAAGTCGCTGCAAAAGCTTCTGCCGCTGCCACTGACCGAAGGCTCGGCAGAGTTGAGCCTAGTGGCCTTCCGCACGATCTTCGATAAGTGCCACAGGGCTGAATCACTTCGCGCTTCAGGCTTAGAATTCGTCCAGCTTGAACTGTCGGCGTCCGAGATGAAAGGAAACTTTTGCAAACATGCCCTCCGTTGGTGTGCTGCAACGTGTGAACACAATACACTTTCATAACAGGACATACCATGAGTCGAGCAAATCAGAACACTTTTTATGGCTTTCTGATTCTGATGCTCGGCTTCCCATAGGTCAGCTGACACCGCCCTTGGTGAGTGAGGACAATCGGAGAAACATGTGTTTGTCTGCACAGAACTCATGACAATCAGTCAAGGTCACCGCTCTCAAAGAGAGGTGTCGAGCCGTGGTTTCTTGCTGTCGGCAGCCTTCTCACATGACAAAAGAACCACGCCAAAGTGTCGCGCCATCGTCCTCGTCGGCACCCTTTTCAATCAGAAGGCTTACCACGTCAAGGTGACCATTCCCTCTTGCAATGGCGAGAGGCGTTGCGCCTTTATTGATGGCTTTGTTCTTGTCGGCACCCTTCTCGATCAGCAAACTCGCTATGTCAAGGCAACCGTTCTGACTGGCGAGGAAGAGAGGCGTCAAGCCACGTTTGCTTGCTCTATCCTTGTCGGCACCCTTCTCAATCAGCAAGCGCACGACTTCGAGGTAACAACTCTCAGTCGCTCCAAGGATGGGTGTCACGCCAGTCTCACCTGCCCTGTCGATATCAGCACCCTTCTCGATGAGCCAGCGCACCACCTCTAGGTGACCAGAAACGCTTGCGACGAGTAAAGGTGTTGTACCGTCCCACGTGGGTTTATCCTTGTCTGCACCCATTTCCATCAGCAGCCGCACTACATGGAGGTGACCATGGTAAGCTGCGATCCAAACGGGTGTTGCCCCATAATTATTTGCCTTATCCTTGTCGGCACCCGACTCAATCAGCAAGCGCACCAAGTCAAGGTGACCGCTCATACTTGCGACGAAGACAGGAGTCGCACCATCAAGGTAACCATTCATAGCTGCGGCAAAGACAGCTGTGGCACCAGTCCGCGTGCAAGGCTTGTTGAGGTCCGCCCACGCGGACACGAGTAGCTTGAGACTCTCCAGCGCCCCACTACTGGCGGCCGCTACCAATGCTGTCCGACCACGGGAATCTACCAAATCTGGGTTTTGAGGGCGCCGCAGCAAGGCCTCAACCGCAGCAGCGTCATTTGCTTGACTGGCGTCTGAAAGCCGGTCAACATCGCCTGTATCAGACTCGACATAGTCACAAACGGCTACCTGCAACTCAAGCGGCAGCTTCAAGGCGGCATCTTCATTCATTACCCCATCTCCGGAAAGGAGCTTCAGTCGAAAGCATGGCTGGCCGACAAGAGGGGATAAGAGCTGCTCAATGCCCTTGATGACACTGCCATGTGCATCGGCCAAGGAAGCAACCTCCGCTTCAGTCGACGTCACGAGCTCGCGTCCGGCAAGGTTTCGAACGCAGAGCATGGCAAGCTAAAACTATGGGGCCTTCCCACTTCCCCCTCCCCGATATGGGCGTTTCCAAAATAGGGGTCTAAATATAGTACCCTAAGTTATATAGTAGGAGCCTTATTGGAAGGACCCCCAAGTAAGGTAGCCCTCATTTTCGGTAACTCCCATATGTGACAAAGAAACCACGAAGCTGATGCCCTCCGTGTGTGAGGAAGCTCTTTCCCACCGCTGGCACTTGGCACTGACGGACTGCACTGCTTGAGAAAACGCTCATTGCAAGGATGCAACTCACCCCAAGATTTCCTGAATCACACCCTGAGTGTTGTTCTGTAGTGCTGAAGATTTTCTCAAAGAGGTGTCAGTTCGGTTTAGGTCACTCCGTCAGTGATAGCGTGGATGGATGATGACTGGAACCCCTAATCCCGAATTGCTTGATAAGCGCTCTCGAGCCCTCAACTTGAAGCGAAGGGTTCCGAACTGAGCCATCGGCACCACCCGATCGAAGAGGAAAGGGGGAAGCGCGAGACAAGGCCTCAAGGCGCAAGATGTTCGATTCACCATCAAACTGTACGGTGGTGGGGAAGTGGGGGGGGGGGGTTAGTAGTAAAGCTATCTTGTTTTCGAGGTATTACGAATCCTGCTACTTAGGATCTCTACATGCAGCAGCCTGACTGACATGGCGATCGTTTCAAATTCACCATGCAGGAGGTTTGGAACATCCAGTGAGAATCTCTCGGAAGAAGGCGGACTAAACCCGAACTGTAGCCCATGCCCACACCAAAAGCAGCGAGGACTTGGTCTTGAGCTATCTCAAGACAGCCTGAGAAAGCAATTCAGATTCTTACAAGTTGTAGAACATGGCCTGTCCTCTTCGGAAGAAATTCAGCTGAACCCTGAAACCCAAACCCTGAACCCTAAACCCTGAAACCTAAACCAAAATCTTGAGCCCCAAACCCTAAACCCCAAAATCGAAAAATTTCAAGAGACCCTCGAAGGCTTGGCATCCTCGCCCAGAGGTGTCAACCACAGTGAGCCAGTTGGAAGACGCGTTGTAGAGGAGATCTACGCCACAGACCTGTGCACTACATGAAGCGCATTCCTCTGTGGGTTCCTTTAGGGGATCCTATGGGCCTTGATAATTAGGTGCACTACATTGGCCTTCATACTTAGATGCGCATTCCTCTGTGGGTTCCTTTAGGAGATCACATGGGCCTTGATAATTGGAAGAGGGTTCCTTTATGGGGGCCTGTAAGGGATGCTCGTTAATCTACGCCGCAGGCCTATCCATGCCGTTTGGTGGTCTGTGCATAATATAGGGGCCTTAATAATTGCCAATTGGAATAGGGTTTGGGGGCCCATCATACTATAATTGCAATAATAAGGAACTCCCAAAATAGTACAGGCAAATAGTACAGGTAAGCATTTAAGAGCTTGGCAAGTTGGTCCTGCACTTGTCTGCCTGCTATTTCCGCGAAGCCTGAAGCGGGAGGGAAGGAGTTGCTTCGGAATGATCTTGCTGCTAGCTGGCTTTCACTCCAAGATCTTTATTCATCGTAAGAGTCTTGGCTCAACCCCAAATCAGCTTTGCTTTGGGACATCGGCTTTGCTGCCTCGCTTACGGCGTGGCATTCTGGGTTTGGCGTTGACGACTACCTGTTTATATACATGTACTAGTCAATTACTTACCACATCCCCTTTTCCCTGAAGTGGTGCCGACTAGTATATGCATATAAACCGGTGGTCATCAACGCAAAACCCAGAATCCTGGCGTCCATGCTTCAGGGCTTCGAGGGCCCACTTCCCCACGAACCCTTGGAAGCTCCCATCTCCCCTGCTAGAGCCTTTTACAAGCAGGAGCCCTGCTGGGGGTTATATCGTTCGGTATAGCACCCAGAGACTCCAAAACTCCTTGATTAAAAATAGACCTTAAATCGTATTAGGGATCCCAGTATAAGTTCAGGCTTATTCCGACTAGGATACCCAGTAACCTAAGAATAAAAAGGCCTCTCTTTTTGGTATTGGGCTTCTTTATAAGGAACCTAGGGCTACAAAAAGGGAATAAGGGTACTACTGGGCATCCTAGCCCCTAATTTTCGGAAACCCTAAACCCTTTATAGAACCCTTATAGATCCCTTTAAGGAACCCTTATAGATCCCTAAGGGTACTACTTAAAGGAGTCTGTAGCCTCTGGGTAGAGGGGTGCAACTGAAGGGCTCCCAGAGGCTCCAAGGACTAACTTCCTTAAACTCCAAACCCTACCTGGGCCCCAGAAATCCCTACCGCTTTCGGGCTCTCTAATAAGATGGTTTCCTTATATAAGCCATCAAAAAGGTAGGGGCTGTTTGGGATTATTCAGGCAAAGCCTAAACCCGAAGCCCTAAGACCTAAACCTGAAGCCTAAACGCAAAACCTAAAGCCTAAACGCAAAATCTAATAGAGCCACGGTTTAGGGTATAGGGTTTAGGAAAGCCTTAAAGGGAGGCTTCAGGAGTCTCCGGTGCCCCGGATCCCGATCGCGAGCCTTTGGACGGTAGATCAGCAGCTCGTGCCTGGGCCATGCTTGGGGAGCCCCGAGGACTAGGGTCTAATACGGGTTCGGGGTTTTAAGGTTTAGGGTTTTAGGGTTTAGGGGTTATAGGGTTTAGGGTTTATAGGGTTAGGGATTCGGGACTAGGGTTTAGCATGGGTTTAGGAGGATATATGAGCTTAAGATAAGGGGGTGGGGCCTTGACAGTTGGAATAGGGCTTGGTGAGGGGTCTTCAGTCTTCTCTCCGGACTTCTAGACTAGGCTTTGGTGCTTAGGGGATATAGGGGGGCCAGTCGGCTTTTTGGGCAACGTATGGAGCTGAGGGGCGTTCAGGGCTGCTTTAGATTTTCAGCCCTGAGGTTCCAAGGCTTGGAGGGGGCCTCGTTTTAGGTGTGGGCTTAAAGGGAACTCCAAAAAGTTGGAATATGGTTTCAGGGTAGGATACCTTATAATTTACCATAAAGGGTTTAGGATAATCCTATTCCAACTTTCTGGCTTTTACTTTATAGCAGAAGCCAGAAAGTTGGAACATCAGTATCCTCATGCCCTTAAAGTAAAGTAGAGGGAATCCTAGCACTAACCATCCTAAACCCATGTTCCAACTTTCTGGGGTTCACTGGTTTAGGGACGTTTTTTGATCTGTTTCAAGTTCAACGGTTGAGGACACTTCGAAGTCTCGCCTCAGCCCCAAGACCCCGAGGCCGAACCCTTGAAGCCGCAACTCCGCCAGCCCGGATTAATAGAGGGGCCTTAAAAATTAGAGTAGGGTTTTGGGGCGAATCGGACATGCGTCTGAGGCGAACAAAGCTGAAGATGTCTATTGCATCCTTGGAAAGCGTAGCTGCTTATGAGCTACCACAAGCTAAGCTAGTTTGTTCAGTATGCCTTCAATGTCTCGCAACATGGAATCATATTTTAATGACCAGTTGTCGAGCATCTGTACAGAAAAGTGGACTGTACTGTAACATCTTCGAGTGATGTTACGCGGCTCAGCAGAAAAGTTAAGAGTCTTACTGCAGCAAGCGCAAACTTCGACTGGCGCCCAAACCGGCTCAAGAAGGTGTGTGTGAAATTCATTTTCAAGAATCAAGTTTTGTTTGAATCTTTCAAGAACGTCCTTAAATCTTGCAGTGCGGTTTTTGGCGGCTTTGAACCTTTTGATTGGACCAGGTTTGGTCGGTAGCGCGTTTCGGATTTCATCAGAAGACATAGTAACCCATCTGTCAAGAGCAATCTGTGTGATGCAACTAATCCTTTCAGTAACGCGATTATTGGCAATATCATCCTTGAGAGTACGAATCTGTTGAATCCAAGGGATAGGAAGGCCTTTCCTTCTGAATCTCGGAATCGGCCATTTTTCAGACAAGGGATGATTCATAAGAATTTTTGCTTTGAGACCAACAGCTTCGCAAAAGTCCGTAGTTGCAATACGGAGCACCTGCGGATTAACATTGGATGCCATTCTAGATTCAACCCGAAGTCGCTGAATGTTATTAGAAGCAACCAAAAGATTCCACTCCGGGATGAAAAACAAGTCATCAGGGAAAGCCGTTTCGTTCGGGAATGCTTCAAGCCATTTAGTTTGACTTTCATTGGGGAAAGTCATACCATGCAGCTCAGGATTTTGTTGCTGTGTTTGAAACAGAAAAGATGTAAGCACTCTTAATTTATAGGCAGCCATTCCTATGAATTGGCATTGACCCAAGAAATCAGCCTCAGCTCCCCCATGTTGCACGAAGAGAGCAAGTGCTTGTGTCCAAGTGCGGATTTTGACTGCTCCATTACAAGCATTGTTTGTCCATTTCGTCCAAAAAGAGAAAATCAACGCAAAATCTCTGACAGAACTACCCCATTTGTTCCATTCAGTGCGCGTGGCAGGGGGGTTCCATTGAAGAGGAAGGGCCAGGGAGTAACACAGCTCGCAATTTTGTCTGTTGGATTGTGGAAGGACTTCCCTTTCGATGCTATTTTGTTGTCCTTGCTCCGGTGCAAACTGATGATAGCATTCAGGGTTTCTGCAAATTTCCATCCATTGATACAAAAGCTGTGCAACCAGTAGTTGTAACTGATGCCAGTTGATGCGCGTAGATTCGGGAAGTGCGGAAGAGCAGATCATAGCCGACTTAGAACATTCAGGCCATTGATCACGGTCAAGAAGCTCTTGAGGCCAAGAACTGCGCAATTCAGCAAACCTCGGGCAGTCCCACATAATGTGCTTAATATTGCCTTCATCATGTAGGCTGCGTGGGGATTTGATCTCGATTGTATTGCTGCTCTCCCCACCAGAGCTGTAATGAATGTAGGTGTGGCTGGCTTGCACTCTCCACAGACTGGGACCCTGTCTCTCTCACACTTCCACACGTGCAATCCTATGCAGGCAGAACCGGTGGCCGTTCCTTTTGCACTCGCTGCCGGCGGCGGTTCGTCTGTGCACGGGATAGCTCTGATTGCTCAGGATAGAAGACACATATAGCACTTAGCTATGGG